CATTAATTCTCTAGAAAAAACTTAACATAATAATTGAATTTTACAATGAACAAAGTTACACTTCCTGATCACATATCGCTCACTAGCTTAAAAAAAATTAAATCAAACCTGTAATTCTGCAATTTCTGTATCAACATTTTCATTTTCTTCTTCAGATGCTTCATTATCTGCAGCTTCATCCTCTTTGGTGTCCTCTGAAATTGCTTCCTGCAAACAAAAGTAAAAATGTGAATTTTATTGCCTCTGTGACACCAAGAATTAGAATTATGTAACCATCTTTTACTTCAAAATAATAAAATTTTACCTGTGACGAAACTTCCTTTGATTTCAATTCTTTCATTTGTTTGATCCAACTCAACAAAGCTTTTAAATCTTTTCTACCAAGTACTTTTATGTCTTTACAACATTCTTTTATTTCTGTTGTTGTTTTTGGATTGCTTAATATAAGTGCATCATTAATCACAATCTGGAATTAAATGGATATTGTATTAAAACAAACGTAATACAAATAATGGCATGAAAATTTATTTGTGTTAACCCAACTTACTTCAGAGCAACCTTGTAAAAGGTCAATTGGGTCATCATGACTAAGAAATTCAGACAGTGGTACTTTATGATGTGTTGTATAGTCATTTTCTTTATATCCTTCCGCTTTTGCTTTCTTTTGCTTTTCAGGGTGCATAATATTTAAATGTTGTTTTTTTACAATATCCAGATCTTCAAATACACTCTTAGGATCAAGAAATTTTGGATCTATGCTATCTGGTGCTATATATCCTTGACAAACAACGAAAATTTCAGATGATTCATTTCGTGATGCTTGTGGTTTGGTTGCATGAACCTTTTTGAAAAATTGCTTGAAAACCCATAAAAGTGCATGATAATCTTTTGATCGGAACACCTTTGTTATAAACCAACCTCCTTCTCTTAGAAAATTAGTTGTTAATTTTAATGCGCTAAGTGTCAAACAAGCCTGCTGGTATGCATCATGTATCCAGTTAAGACCAACATTTGGTGCACCATCGTGTAGTACAACATCAGCTTTCCATGTCTTTATTTCTTTTTTTATAGCTGTCTTACATTTCTCTGTAGTGATGTCCTCTGTTAAAGCTATACAACCAGGAACGGGCTTAATGGGAAATAAATCGACCCCGATCACGATACTGGAAACTGGCATATTTTGATGTGCCACTTGCATCCAGCCACCAGGGGCGGCACATAAGTCGATACATACTCGTGATTTTTGCAAAAAACCAAATTTTCTATTTAGTTGAATTAATTTGAATGCAGCACGAGACCGAAAGCCTGTAATGTCGATTTGTATGTGAGCAAATATAAAAGATATTAGAGATTGATAAAATTGTTACTGAAAATACCTGTTTCTTTAGCAAGTTGATAATATTTATCTTTTCGCTGCTTTCCTATTTTGGTCTTTTTACCCATTGTGTTTTAGAAATTGCTATACTAAAAAATAAACAAACTAATCAAACACATGTTTATCCACGAGACAGAAGTTAAAATTGAGGTTATAAAATAATGTTGCCCTTTTTCATTGTCATTGTCATCTTATTGTCACTTGGCACAGCTTGGCAACAATGGGAACATATCACAGAGAAATGACTAACTCATGCTTTATGGTTTCGGTTTTGTTAGAAACAAAACCTTAAGCTAAATAAGGCTAAATAAACGATAGAAACAGGGAAGAACTACATATATGCTAAACTCCTAAATTCCAATATATGTATTTCCAACTCATCACATTGTAACCCGTGCTAAGTAAATTAGCACCAAACTAAGCAAAAAAAAAAATTAATCTTTAAATTGCTTAGTTTGTTCGTATTTTAATCATGCAAAAAAAGAATGGCAACATGGCAAAAAGGAATTTGAACCGTGTTTAAATATTATTGGATTTTCGACAATTGTTTCCGTTTTTCAATAACATGTAGAATAAAAATTCAAAATCGGTACTGATAAATCGATTACAGCATTTTTCATGCTCTGTGTATTCAAACTTAGAAATTGATTTAAAATGCACAAAGTTGTTGCAATTAGGCGCTAACTAATACTGTAGAGAAGAAATGAAGGGTAGTTTAAAAAAGATTTCCACAGCTATAACTTTTGAAATAACAAATTAGGCAAAATATAAAATTAGAAACATTTCCTATACGCAAACGAAATGTTTATAACTTAGAAGTAGTAAGAGCAAGGAAGGATATTAATTAAATATTAGAGGGGCAAAATATGTGAATGTAGAGTGTGTTGATGACACGCAATTCGAAATTGGCAATATTTCTCGATTTTGATAAATCGATTTTTATTATAATCGATGCAAACATTAAGCCATCCTTACTCGGATTTATAAATCAAAATCTATTTTTAATACTCATGACGTTTCATTACACCACCATCAGAACAAAATACTGAACCACCTAGCACCGTAACTGTATAGCACCATTTTGCCATTCGTGAATTTGTTATTGCATCAGCTGGCTTACAATCGTGGTTTTTAGCACTTGTGTATTGTTTTAACGTAACATTTGTGTTTTAAATACATAAAATTTAACAGTTGATCTCAATAAAGAACAACAGTTGTCAAGACATTTTTCTTAACAAATAAAATTATGGCTCCGACTATTGAAACTTTTATCAATAGCTTCCAAAATCGACTGTGAGTATAAAGTTTGTTGTGTTTAAAATCGAATCATTGTCTTTTTTTTTAGTAATGGCCGTCAACGTGCGTTGCGTATTTCTAGAAAGTTCTTGTTAACATAAATTATTGTTGTAATTGTTGTGACTCATCAATTTGTAACAATTACAAGCAATAAGTGTCATTTGTAACATCTTATATGTTGTGGTAATACTTTACAATAGCAAATCATGTTTTTTGGGAAATGTACGATTTAGATATTGTTTTTTCTTAAATATTTAGGTAATTGCAAATGTTATGTACCCTATTTATGTTTTCTGTACGTGAACGAGATTTGTATTATCAATATTAAAAAAACTACCTACCTAGCTACTTACCATAACCATGCCTGAAAATACAGTCATGATTGTAGTTTACCTAGAAAATATAGACGAAATACATATTAAGATGAATATGTTGTATTAAAAGTAATTAACTAATAACAAATAATATTCCAGGGAACCTCCAGTTCGACAACATCTGAAAAATGTCTATGCCACACTGATGATGACCTGTGTGTCGGCCACTGTGGGAGTGTTTGTTGACATTTACACAAGCTTCCAGGCTGGCTTCCTCTCCACTATTTTGGGAGTTGGCCTTATGTTAATGTTAATTGCTACTCCAGACAATGGAAAGAACACCAAGCTGCGTCTTGGCTACTTGCTAGGATTCGGCTTGACATCTGGTTAGTATATGTTGAGTAGTATATTCTGTTAGTATTTATGATGCAATATGTATTTAAATAATAAAGTAGTTTGTGTAATTTTTAGGTTAAATATATTTATACTGCCAATTAAATATAGGTTTATAATATCTATGTTACATTGTAATAATCCTATCAACACTTTTTTAGGAATTGGCATGGGTCCATTGTTGGAGTATGTCAGCGTTGTTGACCCATCAATAATAGTAACAGCACTGCTGGGTACATCATTGGTGTTTGTTTGCTTCTCCATTGCATCAATGCTGGCGGAGCGCGGCAGTTGGCTGTACCTGGGAGGAACTCTGATGACCCTGCTCACTTCCATGTCCCTTATGTCTTTGGCCAACATCTTCATGCAATCCCACTTCTTGTACCAAGTATGAATTTTTTCTTATAGTATATTTTGTATGTTTTGCTTATATGATTACATTGAAGAGATTTTAGTAATTAAATCTTTGCTATGTTAAGAATTTAAAATGAAACATACTATGTAACAGTCACCTTACATAAATAACTAATATTCTTTAGTGATGAAACATGGATATACTTAAACTTATTGTAGATTAATCTGTAATGAACAAATGCCCATATGATCATTGAAATTCATAAGCAACAAATAGTAGGTTTAATAATAAGATTTACTGTCTGTTACGTATTGTTCTATTTGCTGTATATAAAAATAGAACAGTATTGATTTATTACTTAAAATTGTTTTAGTCCCACCTGTACCTGGGCCTGATCCTGATGTGTGGCTTTGTGCTGTTTGACACTCAACTGATCATTGAGAAGCGCCGCATGGGCAGCAAGGACTTTGTACAACATGCTCTCGAGCTGTTCATTGACTTCATTGGAATATTCAGAAGACTGGTTGTTATCTTAACACAAAAGGTGAGATTGTTTATATAATATGAAATGAAATTAATGTTTATCTTGATTCTAAAATTTTACACAAATACAATAATAATTTTAAAGAGACTAATGCTAAAAAAGATGAATATTTAAATCAAGTCAAAATGGTTAAGAAAAATCAAGATACAAGTTACTTTATAATGAAAAATACATTCTTTTAAGATCTTCATAATTATGATTATGATTGTAAAAATGTTTAAACAGCAGGCAAACAGTGTTATTACAGTGTATTTATCAAGTATAATATTTGAACTAACCAAGGTTAATATTAATTTGCATACAAAGTGTGATTATTGTTTACTCCATCTATTGCTTTTTGTAGTAACATATCTATCCAATTATCTATCTTTAAATGTTATTTTATTAATTTAATCATATTAGATTTTTTAATTACCAAATAAATGGAAAACATTCTAATCTGAAAAGAAGTTAAGTGTGAACATGTCCACATTGAATTTTAATATGAAATTTGATGATTTTTTAATAAATTTTTACTTCAGGAGGAACAAAACCGCCGCCGCAAACGTGACTAAACATCTCAAGAAACATCAGAAATAAGAATATGAAAATATATTTATATACATACTACATAATATGATTATAGAGGGAATACTTTGTAGTGGGTATTCATTAATTTCTTTGTTTAGGTATCTTTGTTGAAAATTTATTAAGTTTCTTATAAATAAACTGTAACTGATAATTATCGCGTGTTTTTATTTAAATACCCTTCTTATAACCTTTGTCAATGCTATTTGTTATGACTTGAGCTCTCAGTAAACATGAATTTGACATTTTGCTATATTGGGTGTTGTTGAGGACTGTCGCACACCAAGTTTCATGGTCTTTTGGAGTCTGATAGTGTAAAATTAATAAAGCAATTTCAAACCAGTTGGCTGTTCAAGAAATAAAACGTAGCCCGACAGTGAGAATCGTTTAATTGTAAGTAGTAACCAAAAAGAAATTGTATTAGGAATATTTTTACGTGATCTACACGATTGCGATAGACTGATAACACTATTATCTCTACAATAAGATAAAATGCAAGTCCATATTATAACTGATAATTACAAAACGGCGTTATTTTAATTTACCTAAAGAAAAATAAGCATAATTACACTTTAACATTTTACATTCCCACGGCTTATGTAGTAGACAACGTGGCAAAGTAAAATACAGCAGAGGAAATACACCATCAGGTCACGATACGTCGTCGATATGGTCTCGTAAGATAATTTAAGTAGTCTAATAAAAATAAATAAAGTAGAGATAAATTTGTAGATTATTGTAAAATAGTAGCCCAAACTGTGACAAACAGGAATCTAACTATGTTTTGATTACATAGTTATGTAAATGGTAAAAGCTTTTATAAATAGTTTTAATGTTAGTATTATATTGTACTGTTTTGAAATTATGTTTTTTTTTACGGAAAAGAGGGGCTCGAAGTCTACCCAAGTTAGGGATGGCTAGGTCCTAGGTCAAACATGCTCGGCCAGAATTGAAATACATCGGCAATTTTAGATTAAACCACTCGCTATACCATACATCCAATATTTAGTTATTTAAATTTTATGGAATCTACCAGTCGTTAGCGTGAATTTTTTTTAACTTCGATTAGAGTCAACTTAACTTTGTGCATACAATCTGTTGAAAATGCGCGCGCAACTTAGTCGTACATCGAATACAACCTATATACTATTCGAATCAAATGGAGAAATGTTGCAATTCAGGTGAAACACAGAGACCACAACGAAGAATTCACGGATTACAACTGCCCCTTAACTATCAACAAATCATCGCATGGATTGTTTTTATAATCAGTACTCTTATCAATTTCATAATCCTTGTGCAGATACAATTTTATGAGCTGAAGGTGATTTCGTTGCTAATTTTCACTACTCTATACGTACTCTTTGTACTTTCCTATATATTTGCGATCTTTCTCGACCCTGCTGAAAAGGATCTTAGAAAACGTGAAATAAACGACGTACCAGAGTTCGATCGATCGATACACGCCCATGTGATTGAAAACGGAAGATGTCACCTTTGTAACATCCACACAAGCAATAAGAAAACGAAACATTGCGGTATTTGCAACAAATGTGTTCATAATTTCGATCACCATTGTCATTGGATGAACAGTTGCATCGGTCAGAGGAACTATAGTGCATTTATTGTGTGTGTCGTCACGATCACTTCCGCAGCCTTGCTGACAGCGTGTTTGTGCTTGGCTGATATTATCTTATTCTTTATACATCCTCGATTATTAAGTAGCGAAGCGCAAAGCTATATAAATTGTACAGACAATATGGATCCTAATACGCCTTATTGTCTGAATTCAATTTTGTTCCTAAGTTTCTCAGTAATCCACCTAGTAGGATCGATAGCATTAGCATGCCCTTTATTGCATTTACTTTTCTTTCATATTTACATATGCATTTTGGGCGTGACTACGTATGAATACATCATGAGTGATAAAATGTCATACCACCGTGTGCAATGTTGTAATACTTCAATAAATAAAAGACCTTTTATAGTATCCAGGGGAAATGGTCTAAACCTCGATGGATCTACGAAAACGATTTTCAATGAGAAAAATTTACAAGAAAATGATAACAGTGTAGACAATTTGATACACGTTTTAATCAATTTAGAAATAAACAAAGCTAAGAAGTATTTGCTGTTTGATAAGAATAAAGTGCATCCTCAACAAGAAACAGCATAAAGCTAACATGATATAAAGCTAAACTGATATAAAGATTTAACATATTTAGCCTAGTAATTAAACCACATTGAGGCTTTTTGTATAGTAAGTCTATTGTGAAAATATTTATAAATCAATAAAGTTGATACCTTATTTTAAATGTTGTTATTTACCTGTTATTACTATAGTATATTTGTGGGGTATAAAAGCGAATGCCCTTTAGTCTCTTCTTTTTTTTCGTTATTAAATTAGACTTTCCAAATTATTACTTGGTTTTGTAATTGGTATGTCTAATTTAAAAAAAAATATAGTTTGACTAAAGCATATTTGCTTTTATAACCCTTTTTAAATAGCTCACAAGTGTCTAAGTAACTACCATATTATCTAATCATCAGTATCCAAATATCACAAGGAAATAAGCAATAAAAAAACTCTTATAATACAGTTAATATAATTTTTAATTAATAAATAACTATGTCTGGTCTTCATTTACTTTCCCCTTATCACGTTTATACATACGAAAATCGTGTCCTTCACAAAAACAGTCCTCATTATAACATTTATTTCTGCAACACTTTTTGCATAGTTGATATGCACATTTTATGCCCTAGAAGATACAAATTAATTATAAATATAAAACAACATAACTCCTCAGGAATATTTGTTGTATAAGGAAAAAAACTAATATAATAACTTCATACTTACACAAGGATTGGGGCAAACATCATTGGTACAAATATCTCGGTTCCTATTTACAATGTCAGGTTTTGTTGGTCGTCTCAAATATCGCCTTAATTTCTTCATTTTCTTTCTAGAAATAGCAATTCCATCAGCATCCTCAATGATCCTTTTTGCTTTATCCTGAAATGTACAATATAGATAAAAAAATGTCATTAAAAATGAAATAAAAATAAAGAAATTACCTGTTTACATAACTCCATTTTTTGTGTGTGCTCTTCTGGTGTAATCCTTACATACGGTTGGCATATCCAAGGAGGTAGTATTAAATCAAATCCACATCTTGTCATACCATCATCATCCTGAAAATGTATTCTACCTTCATGGAACGGTAAGTATTTGTGTCTTATTCTTATGCACACTTGTTTGAAGTCATTCAAATTTTGTGCTCTAGCTAGAAGCTCTCTATCCCCATTGTTACTCTCTAAAGTAAATCTAAAACATTGACATTTAAAAATTGCTATTACCTACAGACATTTGCATATATTTTTTTAATTTTTGATTCTTTGAATTACATATATCAAACTTAATAAGTTAAATAATAATACATACATTTTATGAAATATCTTAAACAAATGGCCCCGTATAAATGATGAAGGACATGGATATTTTTCAACCAAATCAAGGTATTCCATCGCAATTTCCCATGTCACTGGGTTAATTCCTTCAAAGAGAGCTGGATTAGTCAAAATACCTTCTGCACTCATGACACCATCCACTTTAGTGAAGTTTATACACCTATGAACATCTTCTAAACATTGTATGTTACCATTTGCAAACATTGGTATTGAAATAGCTTTTCTGAAAACAAATAATTTTCAATTTGCTGTAACTTTTAGCTACGGTAATTCTTTTTACATAACAATTATAGGAGAATGGTTATTCTTCTTTTTAAACCTTACCTTACATTAATTGTAATGGAGCTTTGTAAATAAAATAGTAATAACATGTTTTGTTTAATTTGTAACAATGTATCCAACAAACCTTACTGCTTGTATATGTTCCCAACTAGCAATTCCTGTAAGAGGCCCCTTCTGTTCTCTAGTTCTTCCATGTACTGTCAATAATTTACACCCAGCATTTTGTAACATTAAAGCATATTCAATAGATTTATCTATACTGTCAAAAACCCGTACTTTGCATGTAATGGGTATAGTAACAGCCTGAGACATAGCAGTAACTGAAACAATTAAAGTTGTATTTAAAAATATTACTGGTATAAGTGTTACTCATGAAATATTTGAATAATTACCTATTTTTTGTAGTAATGACCAGTCATCTTGTAGGAAAGCACCATATCTACCACGCTTTGCTATGGACTGGGGGCAACCAAGATTAATGTCTATTGCATCACAATCCTTTTCTACCAATTTGGCGGCAGCAGCCATTATATCAGGATCATTCCCACAAAACTATTATTGAGAAATTTCTTATTTAATATTATATTTCTTAATTCATAGTAAGGTAAGTAGGTATTAAAATTATATTCATTGTGTTACCTGAACGATTAAGGGCCGATCATTTAAAGAAGTGGTAAAATATTCCTTCCTGTATTTGGAATCCTTGGTAAAAATGAAGCTATGAAGCATAGGGGTGTAACATAATTGGGCTGCGTGGTTCCTGCATAATAATCTCCACGCTAGTTCACTCGCATCAACCATAGGGGCCACTACAAATTGTGGCCTTCCCAGGTTATCAAACCAGTCAGATGTCATTACTATTCCAAATCGGCTAACATAGCCACACTATAATATTTGTACTTTATTAATATTGGTCTAAAATGACCTTATTTCAAAAGTAAACATATGATTTTGTATATTAAAAACTTATCATAATATAACCTCACTCACTTTTCAATTTGACATTTTACTGTTGTCAGTTTCGATTTCCTTCAAAGAGACGTAGATTAATAAATATTTTTCCAAATTGAGGTTAGGTCAGGTTATAGTTTCTTTAAGTAATTAGATAAGTTTGATATATGATGCATATGAAGTATCAAATTCAATTTGTATGAAGTTGAATGCCGTATTTAATAGATAGGTATCGTAGTGACGAAACAAAAACGCATGGCGAACAGTTATGAACAATCGATATTCGGTTTAAATAAATATCGAGCTCAACTAAAATTATTACTTTCATATTAACTAATTTAGAGGATAATTCTATTATTGATTATAGTGTAGAGAATTTAGCGATGACAGAAATAATAGCGAAATCCAATTCGATTACGTACGGCTGTAGTAGTAATAAACTGTTATGGTCATTATTAATTTGAGAAAACAGTGTTTTTATTTTATTTCATAAGTTATAACTATAAATCCATCAATTCCAACTACTATAAGAATAAAAATCGAAAATCGATAAGAGTCATGACTGATTTTACACAAATCCCTACTAAATTTGAAGTGAATTGTCAAACTAATCTAAATTATTTAGACACATCCACCACTATAGCACATTTACCAAAATTGCCGCCAATTTTATCTATACTGTCAACTGTTATGTCAAATGGACAATGTGACAATGACGTTAATTGCAAAGGAGTAACGACAATTTAATAATAAAAGTTTGATAATATTAAGAAAGCTGCAATTTATTAAATAGGTTAATTAAAAGAATAATGCTAACATTTCCGACAAAGGCTTTGTTTCGACAATAAGATCATAATATTTTTGGAAAATAAAAACGATAACACCAAAAAATAAATTTGCCTTAAGTAAAGAAAAATTACTATTAAAATTTATATTGTGCTAACTTCAAAAAAATGTCACACGATCTTATGGTGTGTTGTTATTTATTATTTTATGTGTATCTAAGTTGTAAACACATGTTAAAAATAATACGTTTCATATTTCAGAGTCAGTTTTATGGGTGTTTCAATTTACCTTTGCATGAAAGGATAATGGAATTGAGTAGAATAATAGAGGTAGCAAGCCCTAACAAGGATTTACAGACATTATTCCCTCAACTTGTTAATAACATTTTTGCATCTTCATTGAATAATGGATGGGGTTTGAATTCAGTGACATATGATGGAAACAGGAATCTATTTGAAATGCTTATAAGTTTCTTGGAACCTCAGGGCCCTATGTTTCAACTGTGTTACAAATTACTATCAGATCCTCAATTGAAGTATAATCTACCACTAAATATATTACCGGTAAGATTATTTAAACCATGTTTTTATTATTTTTATCTTTATATGTCTAAAATGTTTTAATCCTTTTCAGCTAGACTTACAAGTGACATTGGAAAGAGGCCGTTGTCCACAGTTTTATGCTGATTTGTTGACTGTAGATCCTCAATCATTGAAATTAAATGTTGTTGGTTTGTCACTGAGTATCCTTTTTAATTTCATAACTATGATTATGTGTCGACTTTCTTAAAAGTTTACAACTGCAGCAATGTTACAATGCCATATAGTACAGGGAATGGGGATAGTTATTTACCTACATTAATTTGTATTAATATACACATATTATTTTGCTCCAATAAGATATTGTAAAAGTACTGTTAATAAATGGTAGGATATAAGCTTAGACTGGCATTGAGGTTTATGTTGATGGTCTCATTTGAAATCTAATAATGTGAATGTAAAGATTTATGTATTCCTTAATGAAAGTCTCAGATCCATTTGATTATTACATATTTAACTTTGCTCTATATTTAATAAGTAATAATCAAAATAAAACATCATGGGAGAATTGGAACAGTGTTTACTTTGCGCTAGCATGTGACTATCTTACACATTTCTTGCCAACGGATCCGAATGTGCCTGTGTTGCCGCATATACCACACTACACAGGCAAGGTGCCAATGGTGGCCCCACTTCAGACTGCAAATCGGTAAGTATTTAGATATTTCTTCAATATTTCACTTCTCACTGTAAAAATGCATTTAATAACTAAGAATCAATTATTATGTATGTATATCCTGTAGCACAGGGTAGGTCTGAGCCCTTTCACTGGCCACATAGTGAGCTGGTGATGATATCCTGTTCTGTAAAATAATTCGGAATCTTAAATTGAAATAGCTTTTTTGAAAAATTAAGTTTAATTGGTTGGTTTTTGTTTGTATGTTTTATTTATTTTACATTGTTGTCCCTTTTAATATTCTCTTACATATTTTGAATTTGATTTATATCAATTTTCAGACCTCTAGGCTCACCGTCATTACTTCTCATACCAGATTTATCAGGTATTAGTAATCAGCATGCCTCCGCTCAGACACAATCCAGGAATGAGGTATGGCGTTCAGAAACTGTCCTACAAGTCTTCATTGACATCTGGATGAGTATCGAACAATATACTAATGGAAATATTGATGTAAGATATTTAAATTAAGTATACTATATTTCATTAATTTTTATTGATGATATGACTGTTTTAACACTTTTTTCAGAACTTTCAACAAAACTATCCAGTTCTCACATCTAGTCCGGAAAGAGTGAGAACAGTTCGTGTCCTTGTGAAGCATATTCATTCATTTTCAGCTAAATATCTAACAGATTTAGCGACTCGATCGTCGGCATTAAGAAAATACGCCCGACAAATAATGTGTGCGAGAGCTTACCATTATGTAAAGCATTTAGTAACAACATGGCCTTTGGATGCTTCATTTAGATTAGTAATAGAGTTGTGGTTAAGTTTAATTCAACCATGGAGATATATGGATAATGCGATCACTCAGGAAAGGTATTATCAACTTTGTACATTAAATTATGCAGAATAATTTATATTCACTACATATATGTCACTTTTTAGATTTCCGAGAGCACAACCAATGCAGGAAGAAGGTAACTCGAACACTCTGGATGCAAGCTATACACAGTTCATAGCGGAGAATTTCCCAACATATACATGCATTTTTCAAATGGTTCTGCCAAGATTTATGAGACTTGATCTAACTACATATAAGAATGCTGTAATGTTGTTCCGATTAGGAAAGGTCAGTAATAATTAATTATATAAATGCTCTTAAATTGTCAATTATAACCCTCTTTAATTATTTTCAGGTCTTTTCTCAACAACATCTAATACCAATTTTATGGAATCTAGAAAAGGCCATGATGGACAATACTTCAAGTTTACAACACAGTCCGGACAATAGTTACAATAATATTTCAACTGAACACAGGTATTTTCTGTTCTGTTTTTTATGATTCCAGAAAAATGTGGAATTTGATAAAATCTACTGAATTCTCTAACTGTAATGGCTGTAGAATAAATTTTGTTTGGAGAACTTGATAAAAAAAATTAATAGTAAGATTCAAATGGTAATAGAAATATTGTTTTTGTTCTTCAGTTACACATATAATGGCATTTCCTTGAGTAAATGGGTTGCAATTGCCAAGCAATCAATATCAGAACTAAATGTGGCAGCTAATTTTGAATATTCTGCTATTTGGTCTGAAAATAAGAAACCATATATGATGGAGTTTGTAAAAAAAATACATAGTGCAAAATTAATCGCCGAGAAGAATGTCGAAGAATTCAACAAAAGGATAAATCAACAACAACAAGGTAGAAACAATACTTGAAATTTAAATTATTCTCAACACTATTTACTATTATTAAAAATTATTGAAACATCACCGGTCGCCCGCAACTTTGTCCGCGAGTAATTAAAAAAGTTATGGCCTGTGTTCTTCAAGACTATGCTCTACATCTATGTCAAATTTCATAAAGATCCATTCAGCCCTTTTGGAGATACCTTCTAACAGCCATCCAAACATCCAAACTTTCGCTTTTGCAATATTAGTAAGAAGTATGATATTGATTGAGTCATAGCGAATGAATTTTTACCGCAGCATATTGGGCACATCGTAATGTCCGTCGAGATCCGCTCGCAGTGTTAGTGGTGAAGCCGACTATACTGCCTCGTATGTTACTGCAGAACACATCATTGACATAATATGTTCAAGAACAACAAATTTGGATATCGTGAATTGTTTTTATTTCGTGGTTTTGATATGTTTAAAATTGTATAAATATTTATCGATGGATACTTTCAGGTTTTTGGGCAACGGTGAAGCACTGGCTGCTTATAGTAAATAAAGATGAAGATGAACTACTTTTTGAAGAAATTAAGAAAGTTCCAGATTATCTTAATAATTGTATACATTATTTTTGTAATATTTTTGGGGTAAGTGAGAATTTATGTAATCTTATGCATTTTCAATTGTTGGTGTTTATATAATATTGTCATGTATTTTTCAGGTAAATGATAATATGTTACTATCACTAGAAACCGGTATAGAAGAAGTTTCTCAAGAGGATGTATCTTTTGATAATACAACTAATTTTGCACAATCTATAACTAATAAGGTACAGTATTTTAGTAAATTCTTCACAATTACCAAATACCAATTGAGTAAATCTGTTTTTTGTTTAGTTGAGAAGCAACCCTACGTCAATCAATTATATGGGAGATCCAGATTTAATGCCGATCACAAGCTATGAAAACACCATATTAGTGAGAATGTTTTATCAAATCGCAACAAGATTAAATGAAATCGTACGTATTTATATTTCATTTATTACACCTTAAATATTCTATACTAGCTGTTTCTGTGCAGACTCAACCGCTCACATTATAAAAACCTTATTTTATAGTTTACATTGCGAAGCTTTTAATTGCAAAAATTCAAATACACAAGTGACAATGGAGGCTCTTGCCATTGGCTTAAGAGTTTAAGTTACTACGGTAATCTTGCTTCTTTGCTGCTATTGCGTTGTAATTTTTGTCTCTTTCTCGTATACCAGCATTTGCCGATAATAGTGTAAATATACATGGCATGTCTTGTATGGTGATATGTGATTGTTGGCAAAGTGCGCATTCACGCTTTATTATATTAGTGTAGACAGATGTTAATTTTGTTATTGTTTTATTTTAGTATGGGGAGCAATTTAATGCATACTGGAATCGGGACGACTTGTGCGGGTACGTGTCGCGCGAGGTGCTGCAGCGGCCGTGCAGCGTGCAGTCGTACGTGCGGAGCGCGGAGGGTGCGGGCTGCAGCGGCCGCAGCCGCCTGCTGCGCCGCGACCTGCCCGCGCGCCTCTCCCTGCGCCGCCTCGCCTCGCACGCCTGCTGCCTCTGGCTCGCCGCCGGATACGCGCTCTTCCTCTTCTTCTCCAACAGTCTCATCTTATACGTCATCTTCATATTTATAATGTGGACTGTTTATATATTAATGAAAGCATCTTTGAAAATGATAAAAATTATCAAAGATGAGTAAAAATTGTGTTTTTATTGGGTTTTTTTAAGTC